AATTTCATTATCATAATAAAATTACTAAAAATAACTAAATATTTATTTATATAAAAATCTAAAAATACATTTTCTATTTTTAACAAATGAATAATAATAAAGTTTTTGAAATACATTAAATTCTTTTTCGAGCTCTAATTTTTTATCAACATTTATATCCATTTTTTGAAATGTTAAATTATATATATTTTGATTAATTTCTTCAAAATAAATGTACTTTTTCATGTATAAGTTAGAAAATTTTTCATGAAATATATGTAAAGCTTGTTTAAATTTCATAAATTGATAAGTTATATAAGTTAAAAATAGAGTTTTTTTAAAAATATTTTTATATTCTTCAATTTTAAGATCAAATTTAGAAATATTTCTAAAATTTGTTAGATGATTAATAGAATTTTTAATTTTTTATCTAAATCCATTTTAAAATATTAAATAATTCTTTAAAAAATGCGTTATTTTTATATTTTTTCTCTATAAATAAACAGACTTTTCTATTACAACTTTTTAAATTTTAAAAAATTTATTACAAAATGTTTGAAATTTTAGAAATAAACAGTACTGATTTTACTGTTAAAACATATAAGGTTCCATAACTTGATCATATTTATGAATTAAAATTTTTTCATAATAATAATAAAAAAATTAATCTTTTATATAATGAAATTGGAAAACCTAATGATGTATTAATTTATGATAATAACAAAAATATTATCAATCATTTTGATCACACATTCTTAATTAAAGATAAAAAAAATTATTAAATTTATTGTAATGATTTACTTTTATTCAATATTAATTCACAAATAAATGATTCAACTAAAATGTTAACACATGAAAAAATTAGAAAATTAATAGATCAAATTGGAAATAAAAATTATGAAAAAGAAAATATTATTGAAAAATTTGATAAAGAAACTTTACAATATTAATATGATACATTAATCAAATGTTTTAATAGTAATTTTAAGAAATTAGAAAAGGTATTAAAATTATTCTTATTTTTAAAATTATTTATATTTACTAAGTATTTTTCTAATTTTAGAAAATAATTGAATCTGGATTTACACTTAAAATGTTTCAAAATACATCTAAAACAATTACATATGAGGATATTAATAAATTAATGACTCAAATTAAAAATGAAATTTATGAAGAAATAAGTAATAATAAAAAAATTTAATGAAAATTATTATACCAAAATTATAATATCAATAGTAATATTAAAATACTATAAATATAAAAACTATATCTATAAAAGAAATAATTATTCTATCTAAATCTTTTTTATAAATACTTATTATCAAGATACAAAATATAAATAAAAGAAATAAATTTTTAAAATTTTTAAATTCATTTTCTTGTTTTATTCGTTCTTCTTTATTTTGTAAAAGAAGTTTTTCGATTAACTTCTTTTCTTTGTTAAATTCTTCTTTTCTTTTTGAAGGTTTTTTTGTTCTTGTTTAATTTTATTTAATATACTTTTAAATTGTTTTCTTTTTTATTCATATTTAAAAACATCAGTTAAATTTTGAAACATTATTAAAAGTAATTAATAATGATTTATGATTCTGTATTTATAATATTTTATAAAAAAATTTTGAATATGACTCTGAGAAAAATAAAATTTATAAGTAAAAAGATTATATAAATATTAAAAATGAATACGTACAAAAAATAATGTTAAAAATTAAAAATTTTATGAAATATTATAAAATATTAGAAATCAATAAAAATGCAAAAAAAAAAGAAATTAAATATGTATATAGAAAATTAGCTTTACGATGGCATCCTGATAAAAATCAAAATAATATTCAATCAACTGAAAAGTTTAAAGAAATAAATGAAGCATATGAAATTTTAATAGAATATATAAAAGAAAAAGAAAAAAAAATTCAAAAAAAAAACATAAAGAAAAAACATAAAACAGAATTTAAAAAACAACAAACTAAAGAAAAACAAAAAAAGAAAAAAGAAGAAAATATAATAAAAAAAAAACAAGAAGAAATAAAAAAACAAGCTAAAGAATGATTAAAAAAAGAAGAAACTGTAAAATGCTATTGTAATAAAGATGCTAAAAAATATCAAGCTAAAACTGATAATAATTTAAACAGAATATTTTACAATTGTATTTTATGTAACTTTTTTGTTTGACAAGATGAATATCAAAATATAATTAAATATAAATGTGATTTATTTGCTATTAAACATTGAGTCAAGAAAAATAACAAGAATTATAATAGATTTTTTTATAGTTGTATTAAACAACAGTGTAATTTTTTTAAATAGTATAATTAATTTATATATTAAATAAATAAAAATATTTATATTTTGTAAAAAAAATTTTTTTGAATTTGACTCAGAGAAATTGAAATTGTATAAATTTAACAAAGTTCTATAATTGGAGATTTAAAAAATGTATTCGTTAGAAGAAAAAACTGAAAAATCACCTTGGAAGAAAATATTCAATTCATTTGAAATATTGTTAGCATAGATCAAACTTTCAATTGTTTTTTTTTTTTAAAATATTAAGGTGAGTACTTGCGACCCAGGATTTTATTGATAATATATTTGGCTAATAGTTGCATTACAACCACAGGAGGCAACCATGGGAAGAGTGTACAACTAGCCACTCATACAACTTTAGTCATTGTCTAATTTAAGTAGTCCGCCTGAAG